AAACATAGTTTAATTAATTTTTTTTTCTTTCTGCCATTTGTCATATATAATGTATACGTTATTCTGTTTGAGTATAAAATAAATCATATAAAGTGTGTCTCGTAGTCTTAACGGAAATTAATTATTGTTTTCAATGATAAATATTTTTTATCGGGGTTAATTATGAGATTTTTGGTATTTGGACAAAATGAAATTTGAATACTACTGATCCAAGTTCTTAAACTTAATAAGGTAAAACACACAAAAAAAATACACAATTGCAAAAACAAAAACTAAAAATATAGTATATTTGTACGATACTATAATTTATTCATAAATTTCACTACATATTAAGAAAATTAATAAATAATGGTAATACATCACAAAGAAGCTTATGGATAAAAGGTGTCGGTTTATTAATTGATTGTGAGATTTTAGCACAATAATATAGGTCAAGATTCAAAAAAAAAAAAAAAAAAATAGAATAAAGAAAAAAAGAGAAAGCTAAAGGTAATCCATGCTTATAATTTTACATTAACACTTATGAAAGATCCGAGAAAAAGAACTAATAATATATTATACTTTATTCTTTACGTATAATATTACTTACTTATTTTTAAAAAAAATTATAGATAAATTTTTGTTGACTAATAAAAAAAATAATTATTGATTAATTGTTCATAATTAATTTATTTTTGTAATATATATATATATATATAATTTAATTATATAAAATTTTATTTTTATCTATAACATATAATAAAGAGGATTATCTTATTTGGTATACATAAATTTTAGATAATTTTACTCTTAAATTTTTAAATAATAAAAAATAATATTAAAAATTAATCTAAAATTTTTAATTTTAAAATCAAATATAACATAAATTAATCTAATAAATATTAATAATTTTTAAATATTTTTATTAAATAATTATAAAGACACTATGACCTTAACCCACTAATATTAAGTCCATCCCACTAATATTATATATACTAAATAACAATCATCCCTCCAATGAAATATATGTACGGTTGTTCCACCAAGCGGTACCACTGCTTCTTTCTCATATAATAACTACAAAAACACATGATTAACCGTAATATTATGTGTTCTTAAAATAAATTTCACTTGTACTATCTTTTGGATGAAAGACTACAAATAAAGGAAGCTCACTTTGTGGACGAATAAATTTTTAAGGAGGATTATTATATCCTTCGAGACAAATTCCAAAACAGCCTCCAAAAAAAATTAAAATATTAACATCTTTCAATAAATTTATTACAAAATAATTATTTAATTTAATATTTTATTGTTTAAATTAATCTTTTAATAATTTGGAACAACTTTCAGAACATTCATTCAAACGATTCAGCATTTTTCATTTTAAGACAACATATAGTCGAAAACGATGTAAGAAGTTTGATATGTTTTAAATCATAGAAACAGGGAAAAAAAATGATTTTGTCTCTATTGTAAAGGCAAACAAATAAAATAATAACAGTTTTGATTTTTTTTTTGTTTTCCCTGTGAATACGTGATATTGCTGTGAGTCCACAATATCTTCCGATAATTATTTACCAACGTTCCTTTCCTTTTAGCTTCTATCTGAACATTGTCTCTCAAGTCTCAAGTAAAATTAAAATCAAACATGAGTCACAGTGCATGTATATATGCTACATGCCTACAAATCAATAATATCACATCATCAAAATTAAACCAAGGTTTCTTACAGCAGATGATTTTAACCTCCTTAATCGTTAACCTGAACATTCACATGTAGCAAATACATTATTTTGCATCCATCTACCCCTGGGTTTCTACTTCTGGTTTCAAAGGTTTAACCTACGTGTACTCATGCATCCAATTCACTGACCTTTATCAACAGCTAAATCATTTCATTTTTTTTTTATTATTCTTGACTAATCTCACGTCTTTGAAAATAAGGTTATTTAGGAATTAAGCTTCAATTTCCTCTAAAAATTAGAGAAAATCTCTGAGTTTGGTTGTAGAATTTTAGAAGGAAAGTTGAATGGAAGGTGTACTGACCGTACTTCGCACCCGGGCTCAGAGCCCGGATTAGCGATACAAAGCCACCCCGGGCACACGCTGAGCGACGTCAGCCCGGTATTTGGGGCCCGGTATTTGGGTAGATCATTCCCGAACCCGGGGATCTCGTCCCAGATCAGAACCGCCCTCCAATTATATCATATCATATCTCATCATATCATATCATACCATATGATATCTTATCATATCATGTCTTATCTCATGCCCAAGGCCCAAGACAACCCTAATTCATACAAAGGTATGTGCATTATTTATACGAGACTCATACTCCCACAAACACTAACTTTAGCATCGGAGTCTCTTTTGCAGGTACCACCCCCATCTTGGAGCATCAGCGTACCAGTGAAGGAAGCTCGCCGATCTTACCCGGCGGATCAGCTCTACAGCAAATTTCCGGTAAGAACAGAAGGTAATAAGATTTCATGTCTAATAAATATATTCTCTAATTTAATAATTTTTAAAATAAAATGATAATAACTAACATAATTAAATTAATATTATATATATGCTTTTTATTTATTTATTTCTATAACCATTACATAACTCTATTAATTTTTTTAAAAAAATAATTGTGCTCCGTGCCTTTTTTTTAATTTTTTTTTTACTTTTCTTTCAAAAACCTCATTCTCAATATATTGCTCTTGGTTGACAATGAATAATGAGCACAGGTTTGAATGATTAGTTGCCCTCCATGGTCGTCACTCTTGGACAATGGAGATGACAGAAACTATTACATTTTGAAGATGAACAATCTAAAAACGAAAATAATTATAAAAAATATATATGTTTTCTAAACAATAAAATTTTGAAAGTGAGAAATGTTTTTTAAAAAGAAAATAATAAATATTTTTCACAAATTTAATAGGCCTAATTTGTCTTCTAATTTAATATTTTTAAAATAAAATAAATGATAAATTAACCAAAAAATATATTTATCTTTTATTTAATTTTCGTTAATTATTGTTATTATCTTTCAATCAATAAGAAAGGTTAATTACGGGCGGACACATCAACTTGTCAACATTCTATTAATAATTATTAATTTTCTTTATTTTTTATAACATCATATTATATTTATATTTATCTTCTTTTTTTTTAGTCATTTGGTGTCGATTAGCACGCAAGTGTTTATACCTTATTTTCTATAAGAAAAGAGGGGACCATTAGGTCACCTCCATTGATAGGTGTTTGTAATTGTTTTTCTTATTAAGAACCGTGTCTATAAGATCTCTTCTCTGGAGCTGATTCTTATTAAATTATTGTTAAAAACCTGTAAAGCACCACTTGCTTATATCACCGGTGCTAAATTTTATGTGGGCCATGCAGTGTTATTTTCAATCAAATATAATAATAATAATAACAACAAAAGTCAAATAATCAACGTTGCTGAAATGTAAAGATGTGCTTAAGTGATTCGTTAAATTAAAAAGAGAGAGATAAATGATGGAATGAATCAAGATCTCCCATGTAAGAACTCAATTCTGATTCTTAACTCTGTTTTAGGAGGTTCTTTATTATCACTGGTGGGAAAGAGGCACTAATTATTTTCATTATTTAAAGAATTAAAAAAGATAATTATTGATTAGTTAAATATTTAAAAAGAAAATATAAATTAAATAAAAAATAGTGAAAAAGATAGTGTGAGAAAGTAGTTTGAAAATTATTATAAAAATAAAATTGTCCAAAAAATTATATATACCAAATAAGATTATTGTCTTTACATATGTTATAGATGTAAAATTTAAGACCATTAATTTTTACTCCAATGATAAAGCCCAACTTAATTTAGAGCTTAATTTTAATAAATCTTTTTTTTTTCAGTCTCAAAATATATTTTCATAATTGCTTATACAAACAATTTTGATAAGAATTTCTAGAACTGATTTGCTCCAATAGTATTTTTAAGTTGCTCAATTGTAAGAATAAACCAAGGCATATAACTTCCTTTAAGCAACAGTTGAATTTGCCAACACAAGGTTTGAATTTGTTAGTTCAATTGTCAACCTCACTTTTACACTATGTTTCGTGGAAGTGACTTGGCATGAATTTGAGAGGAGAGAATAATTGAGATTTTTAAAATACATGTGTTTTTGGTGAAAGTAATTTGTCGAGAATTTAAATTTTTTGAAGTAGATTTTACACAAGATTTCATACCATCTTAAGAGTGAGGATTTGTGAAGAAATTACACACTTGGATATTGAATAACAAAAATACCTCTACTCGCATAACTTTCTTTTTGAACTCTTT